TTTGGGTTTATTTTAGATTTCTGGACCTTTCAAAGTTTCAACAAATTAATATATCTTATTGATAAAACAATAAGATCATGTTTAATTTTTATTGCTCCCTTATTACAGTTGTCTAGATATGTGGCAGAACATCTTCATTTTCAGTCCAAGGACCATCATGCATGGTGCCTAACATGCAATAAGCACATTTAACAAATTTTAACTGAACATCTTCAGGAAAATGCCTTTTGTGGTGGTTCCAATCTACATTAAGTGTATTGCACTTGGGAGTATTTCTTGGGTTTTTATGAAACAATGCTGGTGTAGGAATCTGTACCATAGGTACCCTTGACTGGAAGCTAGTATGTGGTATCAGACTGGAGCCTGGGGTTTTTTCAGTCCTTCTGTTGTTCCAACCACAACTGAGTCAGTTCTGTGACCTTGTGGACAACCCCTGACACCACACCACCCTGACTATCATCTATCCTTGCCTCACTCTGGTACTTGAGTGCATGAAGTTAGGTGTTGGGAGTACTATGTTGTAGATTACTATGGCCAGGCCTAACTCGCCTCTTCCCAAGGATGAGGCAGGGCCCGGTGTGGAATAAGGAACATGCATCTTGGCTCAAATTGTTTTTTGAAATTATTAAGATTTTAGTCCTTTTACAGCTACAATTAAAATTATGACAAAATATCAAAATTATAAATAATCTCCATTAATAAAAGGTCTATGTTACTTTTACTATTTTAGTTTCTTAAAAAGTTTCTAAACATGGCTATTTCCCAAAACCACCCTTTTATTTTAGTGCTTATACCTTGACTATGCATGCTCTAATTTCTTTAAAAATTTTATTTATTCTTGCCTATAGGCTGCCAAGCTCAAAGTGATCATACAGATAAAATCAACAACAAATGTGCTAAGCATTTTTCTTTACCAAAATCCACCAGACTGACCTTATAAAGAGAGTTTATAATTGCTAATTTACCTCATGATTTTTATTAAAGGCCTGTTAAATTAGCTCCCTAAAAGGGGCCCCTAATTGTGGTCTTCCCTATATCTACCCTTTTTAGCTCAAAACAGTTAGGTAAAACCTGCGCCCCTTCTCCCCTAACCGCAGTTGGGGACAGCCCTTTTGTCCCATCAAAACAAGGCGTTTCCACCTGGCCCCAGATATATCAGATTTATTGTTGTCTTTGTTGTTCTCTTTGTTCTTTTATAACTTTCTTTCTTTACCTTTTCTTAATTTCCCACTGTTGTTTCTCACTCCATAAACCCTTCTGCCACATGGGCCATGACAGTTGGCCATTCAGTGGGGCATCAGATGTGCAGAATAACTTATTAGCTCACATACAGCAAGCAAAATATAAATGTCTACACAGAGTTTTATCAATATTTTGGGAAATATGAAGGTGAGTAAAACATCATAAATAGACATACACAGATAACCTTCTATATCTCTGGGTTCTCTATCCTTGACTTCAACTGACCACAAATCTAATATTAAAAGAAAACATTGTGTCTGTGCTGAGTATGTACAAGCTTTTGCCCTTGCCATTATTCCCTAAATAATGTATATAACAACTATTTACATAGAATCTACATTGTATAAGGGAGGATGTGTATAGGTTGCAGTGCTCCACTACTTTATATAAGGGACTCTAGCACCTGTAGATGCTGTTGTTTCCATGGAGGAGAACATCCCCATACCAATCCCCCAAGATACTGAGGGATGCCTGTACTATGATTTTTAAAAGAAAGTCTGTAATTTTCTCTAGAGATTATATTTATAATAACTTTATGTTATTAATAATAAATATTTTATTCTCTATATCTTTATTTATATGAGCTCTGGTAAAAGTCAATACTTTTTCTTCTGCTTCTTTTACTCTTTCTTCTTCAAAATTATCTTTCTTAATGTTTATCTTTGTTTTGTTAAATATACTTTTGCTTGTATGACTTGATTTGTTGACTTTAAGTGATAATCCTTTGAGCTTGCAGCTTTTCTTGACAAGGCAACAGCAGACCTCTTTGTTTTGCATATTTGACTTTTACTTATAACTCTCTTATTGACAGAGTATGTGATATATTTAAATTCTGTTCTTTAACACTACTTCTACCATTTATTTTAATTTCAGCTCACATCTTTGCTCCCTGATAGCTCTTTTTTTTTTTTAACTATCATCTCTTGGTTGAAAAAATAAAGGGTTACATTTCTTGAAAAAAAAAGGCTCGTGAGAGCAATAGTACATGAATATACCTCTTTTTACATAGTCTCCCCTTTATGAGATGAAGATAATACTGAATATGCCTTGTGGGATATTGTGAGGAATAAATAAATTAATATAGTTAAAGCATAGGGCACCCAACCTCCAGAGTGAACACTCAACAAATGTTAGTTGTGTTAATCTTTCCCAGACCTCCTCTAAACCCATCCCAACAGTCTGAAATAGGTGCCCCTTCCCTGTGATAGAAGTCTATCATAGCAGCTATAACTCTTGTGTTGTAACTGTGGCATTTACTTATGTTGAGTCTTTTGTGCACAGCAGAGTATCTGGAATAGGAAGTATTTAAAGCATTTTGAGTCACTGAGTTAATAGAATTTCGAAAAACAGAGTAAATATCTTTGTTGAAGATGCTAATTGGAGGCAGTGAATCCTGAGTGGCTTTGTCAAATGATTTAATAACAATGACTTTTATTTTCAGACTTCACTTTTAATGATGATTCTGGGGGAACTAGAGCCTTCAGAAGGTAAAATCAAGCACAGTGGAAGAATTTCTTTCTGTTCTCAGTTTTCCTGGATCATGCCTGGCACCATCAAGGAAAACATCATCTTTGGTGTTTCCTATGATGAGTACAGATATAGGAGTGTTATCAAAGCATGCCAACTGGAAGAGGTAAGCAGTTATGTAAAAATTTTCCAATTATGCATATGAAATATGAAATATTCAAACTACCCAAAATATATATTTTATTCTGTTTTCATGAGGTTTCCTTTAGGAATAAGCTACTATGGGTGGATTGGTTAGTAAAAGACAAGACCCCTGCCTTAAGGAGCTTGCAAATAATGCCATTCATTTTTTAAAGTGATGGACTGTTGTCACAATAAGAACTTTTTATGAAATGGTAAGCATTTTGTTCAATGAGACATATGTTCTCAGTGGACATTTATATGGCATACATTTTTTACTCTGAAAATTACGTGAGGAATTTGACACATTTAATAACACCATAGTCTAATGGAATGGGCCTTGATCTGTTGGTAGAGAATCAGAGAGATAAAAGTTGTCTAATCTTAAAATTGTATCTTATTTTTAGCCTTGAACATATAACCATGTATGTAACCTCTAGTGAGTGCAATTCTCTGAGACAGAGGTAAAGTAAAGATGGTGCTGTCAACTCATTCCGTAAGAATTAGAAGAATGGGCTCATTATCTGGAAATTACATTAAGTATTCTGAGAGAGCCAGTATTTGACCCTTAAAATTGTTTGGTGGTGAGTTCAGTAATTGCTGACACAAATTTTAGAATAGAGAATATATTATTATGATACTTATTGGCAGTACTGTCTGAATAATGATCCTGTTTCAAAATCAGTATCTTTGATGGATGACATTTTTCACTAATGGATTATTTTATATCACATTTTAGAAAAATAAATTCCCTGGGAATAAATGGAAGCTTAAAATACAATATACAAAAATCGAAAAGGGAAATTATGTGTAAGATAGGGCCATGTACTGATACAAAGGGCTTTCTACGTGTTTACCAGCTCATGCAACAGGAATGTTTAAAGCACCGTTCTCTTCTCTGTACATGCTGAGAGCTTCCTGAAAAGAAGACCTCCCTTCTGAAAAAAAAAGTAATGGATTTACTTTGGAGAAGGTATTCATAATTCCTCAAAAACCTTTCTTTCACGAGTACCATTTCACAGCCTGGAGGCTGGAACATTCTAGATTTGTTGTTTTTAAAAAACTAAGGGTTACTAGAGATCACAGGTATTCGACTGTGAGAGAGCTGACATGTGGGACTGGTAGTCCATACTCTAATTTATTTATGAAAACAAAAGTATTAGAAGGCTTCTACTAGACTTTTATTTTTGTTTTGAATATATATTTTCCTCTGGAAGTGATTTTATAAATAATGGTTTGCATCCCTCAAATAAACATATAAAATGCTGTTTAACCCAAATATAGTTTAGGTACATTTCTAGAATTAAATTTAGAGCTATGGAATGAGCATTTGCTAGTTTCTGAACATTGTGCTAGGTCCTGGGTATACTAAGTTGAATAAAACAGTCGATTTTTTGGTAAGGTTCATAGCAGAATATCCTGTGTTAATAATGAAGGATTGTCTGCTGTGTGAATTACATCTCAATAAAGCTAATGAAAAATATTGAAAAAAGAGGAGAAGCAACAGCAGAACACATTCTTCCCTTTTTTCTGATTGCATGGCCAGCCTTAAAATTATCATTAGAATGAATTTTTTAGCATGTTTACAGGTTTGTATCACCATCATCAGTTTTGGCCTCTCTAAAAAGGACCTCTTACCCATTAGCAGTCATTCCCCTTACTGTGCCTAACTCTCTTATCATTCTTAAGCTACTACTGATCTAATCTCTGTCCCCTTATCAGTCTATCCTTAACTTTCACATAAGTGAAATCATATAACAGATCTTTTGTGACTAAGTTTTTAAAGAGTAGAAGGTAATGATTCTTCATTTAGCAAACATTTATTAAGGCTAGCTGTACTTTATACGGTGTACCAGGAGCTGGAAATGAAAACGTGAATAGAACATGATCCATATAAATAAGGGGTTTGAATGCTAGTGGGAGAAACAAAAAAAATATCAATAGTGGTAATAACTGGTGCAAGGCATGGTGGCATAGGCCTCTAATTTTAGCATGAAGAAGGCTAAGGCAATAGTGTCATGGGTTTTTGCCAGCCTAGACTACATAGTGAGACCCTGTCTCAAAAAACCAAATCAAAAAAAGAAAGAAAGAAAGAAAGAAAGAAAGAAAGAAAGAAAAAGAAAAAGGGTTTTTTGGGGGGTGGTACTATGTACGCAACCCAGGGCCTTCACACCGAGTTATATCCCAGCTCCTTTTAAATTTTTTATTTTGAGAAAGTGTAGCTAAATCACCTAGGCTGGGCTTGAACTTGCAATCTACCTGCCTCAGCTTCCCAGTGTTAGGATTATAGGTATACCCACTATGCCCAGCTGAAAGGGGGATTTTTGTAAAAATTAAATTTTTGGAGGAAGCAAGGAGTTCATCTGGGTCTGCCTATTAAAGAATAACCTCCAGATACTAGGCTAACATCTTCTGATGGAATTATTTACTAGAATTCTAAGGGTAACAACAATGAAACATATGGCCTCAGAGGGATTTTTGGTTTAGAACATTAGAGCTGCCAATAAAGTAGAGAGATTAGATTGATGTAAAGAAGTAGGAAGTTGATGAGTGAAATGGTCTCTAGATTGTAAGGGGAATAAACGAGATATACATTAGGGTGCATAACAGCATCTGACTTCAGATCTATCAATTAAACTGCAACTTTTGCCACCTAGAATATTGTCACAGAGCATAACCAAGAAGACACACCTGTAGCACTGGTTAGTGAGTGATTACTGTGGTGATGAGGTGGAAGTTGGTATCATTAAGGAAAAAGAGAACCATAAAGCCAAATAATGATGAAAAGTCATCAATATGTATTTTGATGTTGACAAAAGCGGTTATAAGGAAAAATTATAGAAATATTTATTGGTAAATATGGTAGTTAGTCTGCATGACACAATCAACAAAAGTAGGGGTAGTCTGTGGAAGAAATCAGATGGTATAAGATCCTGAAGCTTGTAATATGGGCATATTGGTTTCATGCTCATGAAATAGCAATGGGGTTGGGGAGTGATCCTATTTTCTGTGTTCCTTTCAGACCCACAGACATTATTTATGTGGCTTTTTTGTGTCAGACACTGTTCACTGTGGCAGAGGCATGGTGGGCACAAAATGAAAGATTTATCATCCTTCAGTCAAAGGAGAAAACACACACAAAGAGCTATTTCCATATGTTACGGCAGGTTGGGCCACACGTAGTTTTTTTTTTCTTAAATTCTTTTATTGGTACATTTTAGGTATACAATACATTTACATTTATCTTTGGGTGCTTGCACCTGTACATGATGTATCTTGGTTCTTATTTTTTCCCCATTACCTGTG